TTCCAATAAAACTTTATTTACAAAAACAGCAGGCACAACTGATTTGGAGCATGGGCTATAAATTGAAAATGCCTATGGTAAAGAAGTTCTCCCACGTCTCTCTGTAATTTAATAAATGTCCAATATGCACCCTTCATGTCACTAGGGTATGCATTAATCCCCGTTGACACCTTTGTGACCAACCTATGACCTTAGACAACTGAAATGGCAGTCATGGCAAGACCCTTCATTTCTTTAAGGTTGAAAACAAAAGTGCAGTAAAAACATGAGGTTCCTTTCTGGAAGAAGTTGCAAAGGGAGATGTCTGGAGTTCTGGGGGACCAGGTGTAATTTTTTTTGAATCGCCTTATATAATACAAATCAGTAATAAATATGGAATTGATTAAGAGTTTTACAAATTAGTTCCAAATCTAACTGTATCCTGAACTTCACATATAGAGCACAAGCACTAATTTGGCTTTCTGGAGAGCTCTGACTTTTTCAGACTTTTAGAAGTTAGATGTGGCAGGACCAGAGAAGAAAATGACTGAGTGTTGTATGGGAGAAAAAATTATGTATATGCACAAACACACATGCATATATGTGTGTATATATACAGATGTGTATATATATGGAAAAAGATCGATTGATTTGATTATGGTGGAAGGAGGAGAAAAAGTGTACGTGTATGTTAGATTAGACATCATTCCATATTGGGGGGGGGCACTGGAAGCTTAGCTGAATGTACTTTGGGATTTGTAAAATTACTGCCAACAATCACAATTCACTGTGATATCATCACGCTGCAAAAAGAAAATACGTACTCAAAAGTATCTTGTAACTGCAACTCATCATCCCTTAAACTAACCGCCCACATACGTGTCCCCAATATACTTCGTTATATATTACGTACCTTTTTATACCATCATTTTCTAGAATCTAGAATAGTAAAAATGAACTCTTAGCTTTAACTTTGGCACCTTCTTTTCCCATGTTCCTGACATCTAGTAGACACTGTTGGAAAAACATTCATAAATGTGGTGTGCAGGTGAGTATTGTGACCTGGGAGGCAATATTTCAAACTATAATATGAGTATTTCTTGTCTCATCTCTTAAGTGATACTGTTATGATGGTCATCAGTTGTCCTGCCAAGAGCAGAGGATCAGGAACCCTTCTAATCCTTGAGCAGAAAGGTATCTAGCTGATGGAAAAAACGGAATGTCCAATCATAACTCTTTCTCTCTTTAAGTCACTGATGGTTTTCATCACACACTGAGCTGGGTTTAGAGTTGTGGAATGCCAGAACCGGAGGGGCCTTACTTAGTCTGACCCTCTTTATCTTAGTGGAACAAAAAGAGGTCCAGAAAGGTGAAGTGATTTGCTGAGGAGAAACAGCTAACTTTCTCTACAGTCAGGACATGAACCCACATCTCCTAGATGCTAGTGTTCTTGTGATCAAAAGTTACATGTTATCAAATCTTATTAGCTTTAAATTAACTTAAAAATAGACTGCCAGTGACTTCTCAGTGCAGTAGGGTTTCTCAGATGCAGCACTACTGACATTGGGACCAGATCATTCTTGGTCCTGGGGGGCTTCCTGCGCACTGAAGTGTGCCTATCAGTGGCCCTAATCGCCCCCCCACCACCACCCCTTGTGACAACCAAAAATGTCGGCAGACGTTGCCAAATGTTCCCTCGGGGGCAAAATCACCCCTTGTTGAGACCCTACCCCCACTCCTCTGCCCCACATTTACCTCTAGAATAATTCCTCCAGAGCCAGTCTGACCTACCCTAAGGGCCTCCTTCCCAGAATCTGAAAGCGTACAGCTCTCCCCAGGTGTTCTAGTTTCCCCTGCAGGTGTTCCATGGTTGGAATCTAGTTATTCCAGGCTGGCTGTGGTCACAGGTCCTTCCCCATCCAGTCCACTCATTGTTTCAGTGTGTATGTGCATGCTTATTATATGCTGGATACTGGGCACTGGGAATACAGAAATAAGTCTCTAATCTCCAGTAGTTCAGCCTCCTGGAGGCGGCAAAAATGTAAATGAACACCTGTCAGCCCTGTGATCACGTTGGAGAGAGAGGTGTGTGCAGCGTGCTAGAGAATTAGGGAATACAGCTAAGTCACACTGAAGGGCGGTCATAGGGTCACATGCCGCAGAAGGTGGCCGAAGGGAAGTGCCTGCTAAGCCAAGACTTCAAAGGCAAATCAGAATGTGCTACGAAGAGAATAGAAAAAGCTTTCCAGGCGCAGGGAGCAGCGTATCTAAAAGCAAGAAGGGAGACCCCCCAGGCGTCTGGCTGTAGTGTCGACACAGGGCGAGAAACGAAGTTGAAGAGTGAGCAGGGACAGGCCTTGAGAAGCCAACTGAACCACGCCCAGGAGGACGGAATTGACTAGAAGCTGGAGGGAGGAAGCATCGAGCTGGCGCTTTCGAAAGTACAGAAAATTTCAAAGATGGGGGATTCCGCGAGGCAGCACAGGGCATCTCAAGATAAACCCTGAGGCACTGCCTGAACAGAGCGCAACAGATTTGGCTCTTACTTTCCTAAAGGGCTGTGAGAGGCACACCTCTTCCAGGTGCACCGTCACCGGTTGGCAAGAAGAGGAAAGACGCCTGACTGTACAGAGATACAGCTTCTTTCTCCACCCCGGACTGTGGGCAGAGGAACCCTTTTATACCATCACCGTCGGAAGAAGAACTTTTTCTTCTGGAATCTAAGACTTCACAAAGAGGTTGAATTCCCTATGGAAATTTAAAACAGATTTTTCCAAGGAAAAAAAAAAGAGATAAATACGCCTGTTTTTAAATATATGGTCTGCCAGTTAAAGAGTCCAAGACGTTTTTGCACGAGTGTATGAATGCTTACGTGCACGGGCTGTTGCACGTATCATTGTTTCTATGGGAATATGAATTACAGATCGACTCACAACACAGCCCCTTTGCCAGCTGTGAACTGTGCATGCCTATACAGAGAAAGCACAGGCACAGATGACAGTAGCAAACTGCCGCAGACAAGTTGTGATTAGAATTCTTCCATAAAAAGGGAGTCTGGGGCAATTTGCTGACCACAGAAAATGCAAATTGAAGTAAGTTCTACGAGGCTCTTCAGGCCCTGCTAAGCCAGTGTACGTGGCCCTCAGGAGCTATCCCAGCGCCTGGCACACAGCAGGGGCTCCATTAATGTTTGGAAAAATGGACTGGATGCATTGAAATAGCTCTCCAGGGCCACATGCCTCTTGGTTAAGTGAGACTTAGAAAAAATGCTGGTTCAGTGAGGTGCTGAGATTGTGTGTGCTAGAGAGGGAGGAAGGGACAGAACACATGAACCCAGAAGGACAGTGAAAGAACATGAACTGGTCAGTCGCTGCGTCTGTGTTCATGGGACAGAGACCTCTACCTCTTAGGGGCAGAAGTTAGTATGAACACAAGGTGACCTTGATTAACTCTCATTAATGTCAGTAGAGGGGATCAACTTGAGTAATGTTAGTTCTATGACCTATTATTGCATGTTTAAGAGCTGATTTGTAGCTGAAACATGGTGGCCTTCGTCCCTCTGATTCATCCACTACTCAGAAGGCCCCAGCTTCCTAGAATTCTTAATAAAATTCCAGTAGTGTTCATTAGCAGTCATCAAATCTAGCCAAAACTTCCAAACTGCCTCTTTCTGCTTTTCACTCCGAACCGACAGACCTATCTAGCCTCTCCCAGCTTCAACTCACCTTGATCACTGAGGGCAAATTTCCCTTAAAACAATGATTCAGTTACATCCCTTTTCCAAAGCCTTTTACCACCACCTCCCAAGTACCTGAGGAATAAAGTCCAAACCTCAAGCCTGTCTTTAAGACCCTGTGGGGTCTGGTTACCTGCAAATCCCACCCACCCCCGACGTCTGCAAACAAAACAACCTGCAGGATGGAACCCTTAGTGTCCCCTAACCGCTGTCCTCATTCCTCCACAGCGCTTGGTTCACACCTCAGTGGCCTGAAATCTTCAATTCCTCGCTCTTGACCTTAAAAGCATAGAAGTCTGAGTCCAGTCTACTCAGTGAAACACAAGTCTGATCTCCTTTCAGCCCAGGGCTCACTCCCCTCCACCCCTTGCATGGAATTATTCTCTGCATCTCCTGACCTCCTTGTGAAGGGGGTGGTTCTATCCTTCACCAAGTTGCTGGCCATCCCCTTGCTGTGAGCAACTGGGGAAATAATGGACCCAAGACCCTACAATAGTTTCCTGTCACATCTTAGGAGCTCAACAAAGGACTGTTAATTTTGTGGAATAAAATCAAGGTATCTGACGGTGTTAATTTAAGATTACCACTCACTCCACTTTCTCCCTTAGGCCAGGGCCTTTCCTTCCTCCAGGTGAGAAAAAGCATCTAAATACTACAATTTTGATAAATTCAGCTAAGACAAATAAAAAAGCGGAACTTCCTCTTAAACCCTTCAAGAAATGAGAACTCCACAATCCCCATCCCTATCCCCACCCGCTAGATTTAATTTCAGGTTCCTTGAAAATAACCTAATCATTTCGTTCTAAATAAAGGTCTCCATGTTCTCTGTAGTTGCAAAGATAACCTTGCCTCTTAGCCAAATCACCAACAAGTTCTCCAGGCGAGAAAAATGTTTTTTAAAATGTCTACAGGTAGGGACAGTACAGGTGCTGCGCTGCAAGCCCTAAACGCAAACAGACCTTCCAAGAGAGCCAGAGGTTTTTTAGCTAACCTAATATTCTCTAGTTGTTGTTTTCAGGGCTTTTCGGTAGCAAAAATGCTCCCTCCCCTTGGCCTGGCCGCTTTTCACCCATCACTTACTACTACCTACTGCGTGTCTGACTTGTTTATCTAGGCGCGATATCGGTCGCACCCACTCATCTCGCTCAGCGACGCGGCGACCACGCTTCCTTCAATCAGAGCCACGGGGACTCTGCTCACGAACTACATTACCCAGCGGGCCCCGCGCCCTTCGCAGGAAGGACGTCTGCGCACTAAGATACTCAGTTCCAAGTTTGGAGCTTTTAGCTGCCAGCCCTGGCCCATCATGTAGCTGCAGCACAGCCTTCCCTAACGTTGCAACTGGGGGAAAAATCACTTTCCAGTCTGTTTTGCAAGGTGTGCATTTCCATCTTGATTCCCTGAAAGTCCATCTGCTGCATCGGTCAACAGAAACTCCACTTGCATGAAGATTGCACGCCTGCAGCTTGCATCTTTGTTGCAAAACTAGCTACAGAAGAGAAGCAAGGCAAAGTCTTTTGTGCTCCCCTCCCCCATCAAAGGAAAGGGGAAAATGTCTCAGTCGAAAGGTAAGAGCCTATTTGCATTACTTGCAAAAATGCAAAGGGTTGTGCATGCATTTATGAATGCATGGATGCAATTTTCGCCTGGCGATTGCATTTTTAAGTTTGAGGTTTTCCACAGCTCAGTTGCATTTCCTGTTTAGTATGTGTCCTTTTTTTGCAGACACAGAGAGTTCCTGTAAGGCAGGGCTTGCAGTTCAGCTGTGCATTGACGTTATTTGCATTCTTCTGCTAGGATTACTGAGCTCTTTTTGCCTTTTGCACAGTCAGGAGAGATAGAGCAGGTTGGTAGCGTCTAAATGTGCAATGCTTTATATAATTGTAAAATTCTTCAGTATGCACGCATATTATAAGTAATTTTATGTGCAACAGGAATACAAACTTTTATTGAAAGTGTGGAGGTGAAGATGAAAGGTAAAACTTGAGTTAAACTAGTAGGAAATTAATGTAATCTTATATTCCTTTAGAATTGAACCTTTGCGATGCCAGTATTTAGCTAAATTTCCATTGATACCGCTTTGAACATTAAGCAACTTTTGATTTTTAAAGGAAGTAAAGGTGAAGCGTGACTAATAGCATATTACAAAAAAGCAGACAAAAAGTCTCTCTTCCGAGATTTTTCGCTTTACACCAATTGCTTATTGCCTTATAGTATTTAGAATCAGCAACGAGGATATATAGATGTTTTATGTCTTCTCATTTGGGAGATGCTTTGCATCTCGGGGGAAATATTGGGAGAAAAACTGTACGTTTAAAGCTTTACAACAATGTGGGGGAACTGTACTGTTTCATTGACAACCGTAATGAAATCTTTTAAGTGTGTAATTGCCTACATTTAGTCACTATAATAGGTCAGAAGTTCAGGCTTATGGTTATTTTCTTTACGTTTTTTTTTCTTTTTCTGAAAAAAAATTTTCTTACACAGTATTTTGCAGGCTTAATGTCATGCTGGAGAGGAGATTAAAAAAATAAAATTGCTGACATGGCCTCAGAGAGCTGAGGGGGTGCTGTCAGATGCCCCCAGAACCCTAAGTCACTTCTTTCAGAACAATCCTTTACCATAGAGAAAGCACGTGCCACATGAGAATGTATCGAATGAGGATGTGATTAGGCACTAGGTGAGTTAGAGTACCTGGAACATCTATAAGCGGTTACAACTGGTGAATGGAAAGCTCTCCTAAGCTTTCTGCTACTTTTTTTGGAGTTGTTATACCACTGTTTTATTCTATCCCATGGGAATCGTACATCTTAGTCCAAGAAGGAAGTAGTATGTATTCTCAGGAGTTCCAAGTAGGGCTCTGCTTTTCTTTTGAGTGTTGGGGGAATGGAAATCTGCAAAGCTTAAGAGTGCTGAAGAACCTAGGAATTAGCATTAGGAGGTGCAGAGGTTGCTAAACATAGGGGAAAACCTACCACCTCCTAACTGAGCAGTGAAGTAGCAGCTTAGAAGGGGCATTCCATGCTTTCATGTATAAAGTGGATGGTGTCTGGTTACTTTGTATTGATAAGTGATTACTCCTTCATTTCGGATTAATATATGTATAAATATATGTATGTGTATGCATATTTATGTATACATGTATGATCTGGGTATATGTGTGTGTGTGTGTATATATATATGTGTAGTGCACAGGACTTGGGGGCATACAAAAATATTTAAAGTACAGTTGTTTCCTTCAAGGAATTACCTTGTGGTTGGTGAAGGAAAGCATGTATGCAAATCATGCAAATTAATTGCATAGATAATAAAGAGAAAAGGAGTTTAGAGATGGATGTTATCTCCCTGGAAGATAGGTAGGTTTCATCAAGGAGGTGGTATAGTGAATCTTATCTTTGGACCTTAGAGTCCAAACTAAATCAGGTTCCTTTTTGCATTTTGGGGGGCTCACTTCTGAGGTAGCTTCCTCCCAGGAGAGCAAGTTTTTGAGTTGGGAAACTAAGAGAGATATTAGTTTGGGATTCTTTCATTGTGAGTACACCAGTGATAGATCAGATATTGGGTGGTTCCCATTTAACCAAATAGGTTTCTTAATTGTGTTCTGTTTGGAAGGTGCACTTGGTGTGAACATGGGGCTCCTGTCCAAAAGGAAAATTATTAATAGAAAGAATTGGGTGACCCTTTCAGAAATGCCAAAGGGGCCTTGGCCTGGACTTTAAATGTGGAATGGGCCTAATTCAGTGACGGCATTCTCAAATGGCCAAGACATTTTTTTTTTTTTTAGTACCAAACTGCTTTGCTGCTTTGTAATACAACCAAATGAAATGGAAGAAAAAGCGAAAGGTGGATACACTCTCATAGTATAGAAGAATTTAACAACATGTTCAATTCAAGGACCTTTACAAATTTTCTAGCTCACTGTAATTTGGTTTTCCAGACCCCTAATTTCAGGCACAGCAGAGGCCAAAGAATTACAGATTCTCTGGGAGCTGGAAGGACTGTGTTACTTCTTTCCAGCCTTACCAACAGTGAGATTCTGAGAAAGAATTTCTTAAAAAGAAATTTTGTTTTCCACAGTCGTAACTTTAGGTGGTATGCTTTTCAGCTTGTTTATATTAGCTGTCTGGGTTGAGCTGACATTTTTCAAATATTAAAGTGGTAGATGCCTTTTGAGGAAATCTGAAATGTAAGTTAACAGGAAGGGCACCCAGAAAGTGCAGGAATTCCTGCACTTTACAGGAAGACAGGCTACAGGAAAAATGTGTCATCTACATTACCCGGGAGAGAAAAACTATTGTTATTAGCCATAATGACCTGAAGGGAGGGAGGGAGAGAGGGAGGGAGGTCTGGCATCTCCCAGTTCACCTGAACACGTACAAAAAATTTGGTCCTGTGAAAAGGCATTCTTTCTCACTTTTCCCTCTAGTCACCTTTTAAAAATACTACTTTATCTTACTTTAAGATAGTAATAGGTAAGTCATGTCTTGAGAAATCTGTCTAATGCATAATTCAGAAGCACGTAGGAGAGTGGTAGGCGCTACTGTGGCTTCTTTGCTTCTGTAATTCGTTCCGCCCTGGGAAGTAAAATGAGTAAATTTCTCATTCTGTGTAAATTCCTTTGTGAGGTTGTACCAGACAGACTTGTCATGCTTAGCCTGTAAACGGAGCCAGTATGTTTTGTAACCTCGAACATCTCCGAACACAGAATGAGAATAGGTACCTAGGGTTTCCTGAGCTTGTTTTGTATTGGGGTGACCCGCAGCACTTGACAGTGCGCTGTGCCAACTGTAGGGGTGTTCGGGGGGGTTCTCTTGGTGGTAAGTTTAATGCTGGAGAAAAGCATTGAGATTTTCATCACTTTGCTTTTCACAGATTAGCATTACTGGAACTCCTTTCCAGTATTTTAACATCTGAAAGAACTGCAAGGCATATTTTCAAATCTTAAAGAAAAAAAAGTGTATAAATCATACTTGTTCATTAGAGAAACATTTGAAAATAGAGAATGGGAGAAGAAGAGTCACTAGTGACTGCAGTATATACATTTTGGCATATTTCCTTTTGGACTTTTTTCCTGCTCTCTGTACATGTATGTAAATAAATCCAAAATGTATATAAAACCAATGTCTGTTTAGTTCCTTCTGTTTTACTTGCCAGTATACTATGAAATATTTCCAAGTTAATATATTTCTACATTCATACTGTTCAATTGTATTGCATTTACTTAAATAGAACCTTAATGTTTATTAACTTCCAATATCGGGAATACTGCCGTAATGATCATCCTAATTCATAAATTATTCTGTATGCTATGGCCTTAGACTAAATTCCAGGTTATGAATATCTAGTTCTTCTCCACTTCCCATTTCTTCTTTACAGTTTAAAAATAGCTTTTTAAAAAATTATTAAAAGGGTATATACTCATTGAAAAACAATTCAAGCCAAAGAGAAATCCATAATAAGAAAATAAAAATCACTCAAATTCACACCACTCAGAGCTAATTATGCTAACTTTTGATGACTATCTCTTTGCATTGGTACCTACATATACATATGCATAGAGCAACTGTATATACTATATGTAATATTTGTGTCTTGCTCTGTACTTGACCATGTACTTTGGACATCTTTCCATATTCATACACACGTAGTTACCTCATTCTTCTTCACAATTGCTTATTTTAATTTAAGTATACAGCTATTTAATCAACCCCCAGTTGGACTTTCACATAGTTCCATTTTTTTACAGCTGTGAACTGTGAGGAATGCCTTGACCATACATCTTAGCACATTTGCCCAATTATCTCTTTAAGATGAATTCCTAGAAGTGGAAGCTCTAGGTCGAAGGGCACGTGTGGCTATATTGCCAAATTGCCCTCCAGAGACCCAACACAAATTCCTATTCCCACCAACAACGTTTGGAAGGGCCAGTCTCTCCTTGTTAGCATCACGGTAAATATTGCCAAATAAATTGCTCTCCAGAAAGGTTATACTTACTTTCCTTCATCTTGGGCGTAATAATTTGAAAAAAATCATTGCCAGTTTTATAAAAGGTATTACTATTTTATTCTTACTTGCATTTTTTAGTAGTAAGGTAGCTGAATATCCCTTTTTTTTTCGACATTTGTGTTTCATGTGTTTGAATTCCTTTTTTCCCATAAAATGTATCTTTAAGATTTTAACTTGGGGGGGTCAGATTATTTTCACAGTTAGGCCAGAGCTTTACCAAATTGCAAAGTTTAGGTAATCATGGGTTGAAGGCTGGGCTCCATGCATCTAAGCATTTAATTCCCTGGTGAGTTCTGATTTTAATTTCAACCAAAGTGTCTGAAGTAAACATCACATATTTTGTAAATTCATTGTGTTACCCTTCTATAGCTATCCAGACCAGTATGAAGATAATAAGAAAAATGTTAGCAATCTGATTAAAATTCCAGTCTGGGGAATAACTTACTTCTGGACATTTCTTCATTTTCAATTATCTCTACAGGCAAAAGTAGTTTTTCTTTAGTTTCATAAATAATTCTTACATCTATGTACAATGTTGCAGAATTATTCTTTCCTTTTTTTA